ATATCTGGCCCCAGAAGCCACACTCTTGATGATCACCGCAGCTGGCTTTATTCTTTTTAATCTCCTCTGCAGGATTAGTCAAGCCTGGAAGGCATCTGGGCCTGTGCCCAGGGACCTGTAAAGAATTGTCATCATCTCAGGAGATATCTAGGGCCGGCTTCTGTGATGTCCTCCACAGGGATGTGGAGATCTGGAATTCTCCCCCCTAACGTTTTACCAGCTTTATCTGGGGATTTCCCTCATCTGTCAAGAAGAGATAACCGGAAACATACATATTTTTCAAAGTAAGGGATAGGAGTGAAAGACAGTGATCGCTTTGTTTTGTTTTCTTTCTGCATTTGCAAAGTTAAATTACAGCAACAATTCTTTCTAGAAGGAAATGCATTTTGGTATATATTACTTGACACAAAGCCCACATTCATGGGGATGCAAGCTGGTCCACTTTTCAGAAGACTATGAGGTGGTTTCCAGACTCCCTGAAATGCATATTCCCTCATCCAGGAATCTCTGCTGTGAAACACTTGCAAATGCCTATGGAGTCACATAGACAAGTGAAGCCACTTAATGGTGACTTGGACACAATACAAATGACCATTGGAGAGAGATGATCTAATAAAGTAGCTACAGTTACACTGTGCATGTAAAAGCCTGAGACAGATCTATACTTTCTGTTGAGGTCACTAACACAATTGTTCAGTTAAAACTAGCCACTGAACAGCAAATATACAGTATTTCACTGTGTGAAATATATATGTACAAGTACACATGCATGGTTCACGTGGTTAACATCAGAAGGAGTGACAATATGGATTTTTCCATTTTTCTGTGTATTTTAATATACTGACTAAAGCTTTTGCAATGAGTCTGTTATTTACTGTGTGTTAGTCTTAACATTTTATTTCTGGCCAAAACAAATATAATGTAATTATAAGCTATAATCCACAGGTAACACATAGTATATATATCAAAACATGTATATACACACATTGAATATTTATTATACACATGATTATATATACATTACACATAATAGATTTATGACATATATTCTTACACAGTTACATTGAGATATTATATTAAGATAATAATATGCAATAATACACACTGTCATATAACATAGTGTTATATGTCCAAACCACAGTCCAAAGTTTTTGGCCTAAAGTGGTCCAGAGTGGGCTTGTGGTTATTGACCCCTAGTTGTGCTTTCCCTAAGTTGTTTTCCTGCTGCTCAGAGCCAGCAAGAGTATCAGCATCATCTCAGGGTTAAACACTGTCCCAGAGCTACAAGATGCATTTAATAGGAATAGATGTAAAGTCTCATATGTAGTATTTTTTTCAAATCAGTTGAATTAGTGCAATTAAAAACTCAGAATAGGATAAGTCTTATAATACAGGATGAAGGTTGTTTTGTTGATCATATACTTAAGATGCACACAACCGTGGGATCAGACATTTTAAAATAGCCCCAAACTTACAAACTTAACATGCTTTAAAAGAAATGCTGTGGCCAGTGGGAAGTGCCCATGTCCCTCTGGGCTGGACAGGCAGTCACCTTTGGGGTACTTTGTTCAATTTCATGCACATACTAAAATACTAAAATAAGGTCCAGATAATCTGGATCAAATTCTAGAAACTAAGTTATTCAAACAATGATGGAAGGAACAGGAACATTTTGGGGTGTCTACTCCAATATATGAGGCCCTCCTGCTCAGTATTTTATTTGTGGGGTGACCCACTTGTACCAACTCAGGACAGTAATTCCACTGGAAGCAATTCCATTTAATAGGAATAGATATAAAATCTCATATTTTAGTATTTTTTTCTAAACCAGTTGCCTAGGTGCAATTAAATGGGATTTTAGGACTGTGCTTTTAGGCATTTGTTCTCTGGGCTTCTACTACGACTCCAGCCAGTTCCCAAAACTCACCTTCCTAATAATAGAACTGGGAGCCTGCTGTCCACTGCATTATCAATAAAGAAAATTCCACCTTCCCAATTCTTTGATCACGTACAGAAAATTTTAGACTTATGCTCTTTTTCAACTTGATTTCCTAAAAATAAACATTTCCTCAGATACTGAGAAAAGGCATAAAGCAACAAGTAAATTACAAACCACCAATAACAAAAAATCTGACTTTGGATTTAGTCCTGATAATGAAAGACTAGAAAATGAGAGGTCCCTAAGGTAGCTCTGGGTTTACCCCAAGCTTTCACTAGGTGCCAGAGGCACATTCCAGCAGAGGTCTATACCTCAGGGACAATCTAAAGCCTGTAGCTTCTGAAGAAGCTTTTATCCTCCTCAGTCATTTGGGTTTTTCATACTTGATAAAGACCTATCTTTTTCATGGCATTTGCTCAACTGGTTCTACTGCTTTTATATAGACTTGTCATTGAATAGAACCCAGTCCAAGGTGTCCCAGCTTGGATGATAAGCTTGAACTATTTGTGCGGCAGGAGGGCATGCTTCCAGTTCAATTAAACATTATCTGGCATTATGCAGGAATTTAACAGGTCTAAAGAACATCCGTGCTTTGTACTTTTTCAAATAGGAATTGACTTGGTTTAAAGACAACCAATTTTGGATTCTGGGAGAGATACTGTGATAAAGACTTTCTGGAATGGAATGTTGATAGCTCATATTGGCATTAGCCCATAGACAATTCCCGTCAACTAATCTAAAACCTAATGAGACTGATGCAGCAGTCTTGAATTACTAGGGAAAGGTCTTGCTTAAAAGCTGGATATGGTAAAGTTGTTATGACACTCATTTTAAAGGACATATAGGCCAACACAGCTCTGGGAAACCAAGCCTTATTTACCCAGTTGCTTCAAAGCCAATTTCATCGGGGAGCAGAGTACTCCATCAGTATGGGAAATCATTTCCAGAGAGCTTCTCAAAAGCTACCGTGTAGACTTTTAGAAAAAGCATGTGAAAAAATTAAATCAGATGTTTTATTGTTGGCTTCAGTCTCTAAAGAAGTTAAACACTACTTTAAACACCCTTTTTAGTTCCTTTAAAAAGTAAATCAGTTATTTCAGCTATAAAGCACATCCACAGGTCTCCCTTCTTTAGAATCAATTTAACTGCACAAGTTGAGCATACTATTTTTTTTCTGCGAGTCTCAGAACCTTTAACTCTGTAAGCAAAACAACTTTTAAAAATTCTTTCACTTTTTTTTTTTAAGGTGGGCAGGAAGGAAAGTATTTGTGCCTTCCTTCCACAAAAGCTCATAAGATCTAGAGTAGGATTTTATGGGTGGAATCCTGGTTCCACCTCTTAATTGCTGTGTGATCTCAGGTAAGTCATACAACCTCTCTGACCCAACTTCCTCATCTGTAAGGAGGAAACAATAGGGATTCAGAGCGCCGGTAAAGCTCAAAGCACAGGGCTGTGATGTGGTAAAGACGCAACTTTAATGTTCACACTTGATGACCCTGGCGGCCCAGTGAATTCCTACCTGGATCCATCCCGCCTTTTATCCAGGCTCTCCCTATCCCAAACTTGGCAGAGAAAGCCCTTTTCGCTTGAAAATAGTTTGCACCGGCGAGAAGGGATGGGCGCGACTGGCCGTGAGTTGACCCCGGGCCGGAGTGTCTCTGGTTTCCCAGTTAAGGGAAGCGTCCTGTCTCCGGAGCACGCGCACGCAGAACCAGCCAGCTGATGGGAGCCGGGAACCCCGCGGGTGCGGCTGTGCGTGCGCCGCGGAGGGTGGAGGCGGCGGGCACCCCGCCCTCGGCCACCGCCCCCGCCGCCGCCTCGGCGTGTCAGGTGCCGTGAGAAGTGCCAAGGGATATGACTAGAGCCGACTTTTGAGAAACGGCGCACGCAAGCCAACAGCTCCGCACGCAAGGGGGAGGTGACAGCAGAAGAAACTTTTCAACCCGCTAAGTTCGCAGGCGCGCGGCAGACTCGTCCTCTCCGCGAGGCCCCCCCCAGGAATCTCCAGCGCGCCCTCCCTGCCCCCTCGCCCCGCGTGCGCTCCAGCTGGCTCCCGGCCCCGCGCCAAGGACCGCGCCGCCCGCCCAGTGCGCAGCGCCACCTGGAGGACTCTGTCCTCGGGAAAAGCCTCGCCCGGGCGGGCCTGTGTGTGCCCGGGACCGTCGGGTCCCCGGGGCTGGGAGCGGCGTCTGTCACGGATTCTTGATGTGGCCGCAGAGGTGGAAGGAGAACCTAGCGCGGCAAAGCCCCACCTCTGCGGGGCCGGTTTGTTTGCCAAAACGTTCGGATAAAATAGCTTGGGAGACTGTAAAGCAAGCCGCTACCACAAATGGAGCCTTTTTGTTTCTAAATGGACAGGTCTCCTTACCGACCGGGTGCCCAAGGACCCCCAGCGGCACTCTGCCGGGGCGCAATGCCACAGTCACCGAGAGGCGTGGGAGGTCGTGCACTGGGGCGCGGACGCGGGCCCGCCGGGACCGCAACGGCGCGGGCAGGTTCTGGCCCCGCGCGCGGCTCGGGAAACCTTGTTGCCGGCACAGAGAGCAGAAGCGGTTTTTCCCGCAAGAGAGCCGCGCACCGCCGCTTCTAGTAAAACAGTCAGGTACCGTGCCACGGCCGTCGGGGCTCCAGGGTTCATGCCCCTGCGACCACCTATTCCCGGCTGCTCCACCCCCGCAAGCCTCGCCCCGCCTCGCCCCCGGCCCCCTCCCTCCAGGAGGTCTTAAAACCGGGAGAAGCGGGATGGCGTTTCTCGACTCTCCGCGGGGACTGTGCAACCCCGCCACGCCTCTCGGCGCCCGCTGGAGGCGGGAAGGCTCGGAAGTGCGCTGGGGGCGTGCACGCTTCGATCTTGGGTCTCTGTCCCCACGCTGCGAGAACACCCTGACTTTGCCTATGTCTCAGGTGCAGCGGGGTTCAGCAAAGGAGACACCTTTCTCCATCTCCATTCCAAGCATCCCTGGTATTGACGACGCCAGGAGACTCCAGAATCGTGCTAAAGCTCCAGAGCCTGCAGCACGTGTCCAGGGCGAGCCTCAGACTTCTGAGACACGCCGGTTGACGTCTTGCTCAGCTCCGCAAAGGCCCGGGCCCGGCTCTCTTCAGCCTGACGCTGTAGCACCTTGAAAGCGCGCCTGCTGGCAGGTCAGTCTATCCGTGGCACCACCTTGCTCGGCTTCTCTGACCGTGTCTGGCACATTATGGGTGGAAGGGTAGGGCGCAGGGGCCTGGGTCAGAAGCACTTAGAGGTAACTAAACACCCCGCCCGGATGCCCACCGGGTTGTCCCGATTTACAGGAACCGGCCTTTGTTTTTTGCTTGTTTAGTGGCTGAGTTGGGGGAGTGTGGGGAGACTGGGTGCTGTCAGAAAGAAATGCGACCCTTCCCTTCCTTAGGGAGTGAGTTTGGGTGGAAAGGGTAGTCTTCACTGGCTTCACCGGCGAGCCCGCCCTGAGCTGGTCCTGCACAGGACCTGCTCTCTACCCATCAGCGCTAGGTCGCCCGAGGCTGGGGCGTAGCGACTTGGGGCGCCGACTCTTTTCTCCTACACCTGGGCGTCACGCTTTGGTCCTTGTGTCTCCAGCATGGCCACCAGTCTCAGCCCGTTCGACTCTTGGTCGTCCAGCCCACTGTCCGCCCAGCAGACCACCCTCCTGCTGCTCTTCTCGGTGCTGGCCGCGGTGCACGTGGGCCAGTGGCTGCAGCGGCAGCGGCGGAGGCGGCCGGGCTCCTCGCCCCCCGGCCCCTTCTCGTGGCCTCTGATCGGAAACGCAGTGGAGGTGGGTAAGGTGCCGCACCTCTCCTTTGCTCGTCTTGCGCGGCGCTACGGCGACGTCTTCCAGATCCGCCTGGGCAGCTGCCGGGTGGTGGTGCTGAACGGCGAGCACGCCATCCGCCAGGCCTTGGTGCAGCAGGGCGTAGCCTTCGCTGACCGGCCGCCCTTCGCCTCTTTCCGCGAGGTGTCGGCGGGCCACAGCATGGCTTTCGGCCAGTATTCGGAGCTCTGGAAGGCGCAGCGGCGCGCGGCGCACAGCACGATTCGGGCCTTCTCGATGCGCCAGCCAAGCAGCCGCAGCATCTTCGAGCGCCACTTGGTTGGCGAGGCGCGCGAGCTGGTGGAGCTGCTGGTGCGCGGCAGCGAGGGCGGTTCCTTCCTGGACCCGCGGCCGCTGACCGTGGTGGCGGTGGCCAACGTCATGAGCGCGGTGTGCTTCGGCTGCCGCTACAGCCACGACGACCCGGAGTTCCGCGAGCTGCTCAGCCACAACGACGAGTTTGGGCGCACGGTGGCGGCGGGCAGCCTGGTGGACGTGCTGCCCTGGCTGCAGCTCTTCCCCAACCCGGTGCGCACCGCCTTCCGCGAATTCCAGCAGCTCAACCGCAACTTTAGCAACTTCGTCTCGGACAAGTTCGTGAGACACAGGGAAAGCCTCCAGCAGGGAGCCGCGCCCCGAGACATGATGGACGCCTTCATCCTCTCCTCGAGAAAGGCGGCGGACCAGGGGCCGGGCGGTGGCCGCGCGCTGGACTTGAAGTACGTGCCGCCCACCGTCACCGACATCTTCGGCGCCAGTCAGGACACGCTCTCCACCGCGCTGCAGTGGCTGCTCATCCTCTTCATCAGGTAAAGCCTCCCTCTCTCCCCTGTCAGCACCGAGGTAGGCTAGAACACGGCGAGGTCGCCACTGGCGCGCAGGGAGGGGCGGAGGTTTGGCTCCGGCTCCCGATTCCCAAAGCGCCGCTCGGGAAGGCGCGACGCGCACCGGGCCCCGCCCGCGTAGCCCCCACCCGGGCGCTCCCCGTCGCTGCCCCAGTCGCTACCCTCCTCGAATTAGTGACCAAATTAGTGAGACGTTACTGGGAACAAATAAGGTTTTTACAAGTGCCATAGATTCGCCTCTCTCTCTTCGCCTTCCTGGCAGGAGAGAAGCAAAATTGGAAGGGATCTGGCAGAAAGGAGAAAGCAGTGGTGGCTTCGTAAACACAGCAGCCGCGCGGCTCTGCTAGGCACGCGCGGGAATCCGAGGCCTCCAGGCCCAGAAGCGAAAAGCCAGTAGCGCATCAGGGCTTTGTTTCCGGGCGAAGGGAGCCTGGCAGGCTCGCAACCCTGGCCGCCTGCGTGGATGATGACCGCGAGGTTTGAGGCGCCCTGGCACTGGCCGGTGAAAACGGGTTTATGAAATCTCCGCGCGAGGAGCGAGACGTGTCAAGTTAAGGAAGTGACAAGGAGAAGTGCAGAAGTAGTCACTGCCACCGAGCGCTAGATTAACAAAAGGTTCTGGGGGTACAGCGGACTCTCGGCTCAGGGCGCAGCGCGGTCATTTGTTGCCCGCTGCCTATCTCGATTAAGATCTCCGACCGCTAGACGCCCTGTTAAGGAACGAATTAAGGGTTGTCAGATATAGCAAATGAGTACATTCTACAGAGTACGTAATTACACTAAAAAAAAAAAAGCCACTGTTTATCTAAAATTAAGATTTAGCTGGGCGGCCTGTATTTTATCTGACAACCTTATCCCAGAGGCAAATGTCTCTGAAGGCATGAACCACTAGAAATGCTGGCTGTGCCATTACTTGAAACACAAGTAATCGGTGTGGGATGCTGAATTTGCGGACGATCCAAAAATCGGAAGGCAAAGAGTGTTTTCACTTCCACTGCAACCTTTTTTCCTGTAGGTATGGTATGGCTACTTTAGCAAATTGATTATTGTTGTGTTTTTAGTATTTCCAGTATTAAAGTCATAGCCACAAGGGAAAGAAGGGAAGGAGCAAAATCAAATAAAGAGAAGTCAGTCGTGGGTGAGGAAGAGAACCGTCCCCACGTGGGGTTCACAGGCCCTTTGAGATAAGGACAGTAGCTTTTGAAACAGCCTTTACTTTTCCTAGAAACCAGATTGTAAGTAGTTCTCCGTAAACTCCAGTTGGGCAGCAAACAGAAATAAAACAATGTTGGGGGTCACTGTCAACTCAACATAGTTAATTAATAAATTTTCCCTCTACTTAGTGAAAAAGACAATACAAAGGAGGTTGGCAAATTACCCACTTGGGGGCCATCATACAGTTTCATTGAGGTGTGGTCATGCCCATTCTTCCTGTGTATCATCTGTGGCCGTTTTCCTCACAGAACAAGGCAGAAGGTTTGGTCTACCAAGCCTAAAATATTTACTGACTTTTTATTTAAAAAGTCTGCACACCCCTGTAGTATGATATTAAAGAAGCAATTGTAAAGCATCCACCATTTCATCACATATGTGCTTAACTTTCTTCTAGAGTTGCAATGATTATTGACATATATACTTACTTCCAACACCCACTTACAGTAGTGGGCATTCCCCCACATTTTAAACTTTCTTTTGGTGTTTTTTGATGGCCATGCAATATTTTGCCATAATGCTATATACCATTGCAGATAATCACTCCTTGAACTTTAATTTTGATTACATTTTAAAAACTTTTTGCTGATTGTGGTTATACACTTTTGTCCCTGATATATTCTGAAAATATATTTCTAGGCATGGAAGAGTGGAAAGGAGTTTTCCACTTGGATTTGCTTTGTATGAAGATTTTGTTTCCCAGAAGAATTGTAGTAACTTATCTCGCCAATAGTGAAATTATTATTTGTACGGAGTTTTAGAAGATACATAGTTTTACCTGTCAGGACACCAGTTTTCTTTGTGTACAGCGAGAACAGTGTGTTTGCTAGAATTGTCCAGAGAATGAAGAGGAATAAAGGATCGCTTTTCTGGGCTGCATTTCAGTTGTTGCCTTTGTAGGTTACTTGTTCACTAAGAAAACTTAAAAGATGTTTTATGCCTACATTGTTATAATGAAAAATACACTAAAATTACATTTTAAAACATGTTCTTTGACCTAGAAGTTCAATTTTTCTTTAATTTTTTGGGAGAAAACAAAACAATTTTGTGGGTCCCTAAAAATTTTGTGGGCCCTTCTCATTGTTTCTACCATCCCTACTAGAGAAGCCAGCCTGGTCCACTAGCCTACTTTCTCAGGCCGAGAAATGTAAGCACTTGTGATTTATGAAAGGAAAGAGAGTTTTCACCATGTGAAGATTGTTATAGGAACTAGAACTATGAACATCAATCTTGTAATTTAGTGAGAAATTAGGCATCTGTCTAGGATACTGTGGGCTTGAAATGTCATTCAGTTAGTAACCAAATTCAGCTGGCCTGTTTAAAATAGAATTTTAAAAAGTTGTAATGTGCTTTCTAGATAAAAGAATTAATTTTCCTCACTCATTTTCCCTCTGCATGAAAAACCAGATATCCAGAAGTGCAGGCTCGGGTGCAGGCAGAACTGGATCAAGTTGTGGGCAGACAGCGGCTGCCCTGCCTGGACGACCAGCCCAGCCTGCACTACATCATGGCCTTTCTTTATGAGGCCATGCGCTTCTCCAGCTTTGTGCCCGTCACCATTCCTCATGCCACCACTGCCAGCGCCTCTGTCCTGGGCTACCACATTCCCAAGGACACCGTGATCTTTGTTAACCAGTGGTCCGTGAACCACGACCCAGTGAAGTGGCCTAACCCAGAGGACTTCGATCCAGCCCGGTTCTTGGACAAAGACGGCCTCATCAACAAGGACCTGGCCAGCAGCGTGATGATTTTCTCAGTGGGCAAAAGGCGATGCATTGGGGAAGAACTTTCCAAGATGCAGCTGTTTCTCTTCATTTCCATCCTAGCTCACCAGTGCAATTTCAGGGCCAACCCAGAGGAAGACTCAAAAATGGATTTTAATTACGGCCTGACCATTAAACCCAAGGCATTTAAAATCAACGTCACTCTCCGAGAGTCCATGGAGCTCCTTGATCAAGCTGTCAAAAAGTTCCAGAGCCAGGAAGACTGCCAGTGAGATGTTGGGCAGGCGGAGATTTTAGAAATACTCAAGTCTTGAAGTAGGCAGGGAGCAAAATTAGGGTTGTTTTTTTTTTTTCCTAGTTCCCCTTTGCTACTTTTTCAGTTAGCCTCTGATGTGAGCCTAAGTCAACAGAGCCTCAGGTGCTGTGCTTCCCATAGCTGACTCAGAATGAGCACTGGGCTCTCCAGGAGCTCTGGGAGAAGTTTTTGAGCCAAAAGAGTTGTGCCCAAGGAGATTGTATGCATAAACTGAATGCTGGGAATAGTTTCTCAAGGGAGCATCATTTGGAGTTAACACACACACACACACAAACACACACTCACATCAGAGAACAGCTCACTACTTGTTTACTAGACACACATGTGCATATTGTTTGTTGTAACACAACTAAAAGCAACCCTGTAGAGTATCCACTGAAACATCTCTATTTGATAAAAAGAAAAAACTGGGAAGGTCTGTGCACATGTACACAGCTCATTGGCGTCACCCAGCTCTCACCTGGGAAAAAAAGTGCATACACATATTCGCCCACCTCCACACCCACTCCCACCTAATGAAGAGACATTTCAGTAATCATAACTTCCTGCTGGGTAGGATTCAAAATTTGTGTTCCATGTAGTGTAAATTGCCCATAGAAAACTGTATTAAGCAAAGATGCAGAATATCAATCAACATACAAACACAGATAGTCTTCATATAGGTCATGATTGAAGGTGATAAGGGAAAAGGTAAAACCCAGAAATTTCCTTCAAACCTTTTCAATAAAACAGCTAGTTAGGCTCTAGTATCTATGACTGGACTTATCTTTTTGCCCACTTCATGTGCTTTGTTCATCCCTTTATTGGATGAATTAGAAAGCCATTTGCTAAAAAAATAAGAATAGTAGTTGATTTTGTGATTATAGTGGGTTTCAGCCTGGCTTAAAGTATAAGTTGTTAAATTGCAAACAATTCCAAGCAAAAATCATACCATAGTACAGAATTTCAATTATGAGAGCAAAAAACAAAAAAGATTGTTAATGGACTGATTTCAGTAAGTCTTAATAGGTTAAGAAAGTCACCAAAAAAATTCAATATACATATATTACATAATTATTCACAAGCAATATACATTATTTTTAGTAATTAAAATGAATTATTTTGATCAAGAAAAGGTTAAATAATGTATGTCTTCTATAATGTCATTATAAAGTAGGAAAGAACAGTCAATTTAACCAATTTTGTGTACTATATATATAGATATATATATCTATATATCCCCAAAATATATAAATATATATATATATAAACATATATATTTTGCTATGGGAAGTATGTTTAAGGAAGGTCTCTTCTCTCACCCCAAACTTCAATGATACCTGAAAATAATCTCAAAATTGTATCCTGATCACTTTACAACATTTTTGTTGTTGTACTCACAACAAAATATACTCACAACACACAATCTCTTTTTGAAAATGATCTATTTAACAGGTTAATATTCCAAACTGTTGGTGCGCTTAAAACTTAATTTAATAGTGAGATAATTCTGATGATTTTGTTCCATTTGAATTAGTGGAATCCGTGGACTGCAGAGAAATTTAGCCTCTATCTGCCTGGAGAATATTGAGAAATGCAATGAATTTTCAGGATGTTCTCTTTATAAGGTAACAAGGGGAGAATTCCTATTTTAATTTTCAGTTGACCTAGTTTGTCTTTTCAGTGATTTTTTTTTGCTTGTTTGTTTAAGTAGCATTAGTGTCTGTTTTGGAATGTTAGAATCAGAGACTGTCTTGGGAGGCTGTTTGGAGATTGCAGTTGTGTTCCTGGGGAACTGATCAGATGGCCAAGCTGATGGGCAGTTACTTTGGTAACTATGAAAACAAAACTTGAACAGAATGTGTTCAGCTTATGTAAACAACCTGAAAACCTTAAAAAGAAAAACTGATGGAAGATTGCAAAAGTACACAATGAAGTTTGACGTTTTAACTTACACTGCATGTGTTTGTCCAAAGGAAATTGTACAGTGTCTTAAAAGCTTATTGCCTATTATGTTCTATTAAGCTTTTTGGAATCTTTTATTTAAAGTTACAGAGTTGGGAGGGTAGAATGGTTATATGTGAGGGCGGTAAGAGACAAGACTGGGAAAATGACAAAGAAGAAAGCTGACTAGACATTTTTCCATCCGTTCTAAATTTATTAAATTGAGGCATGAATATTTGAGAAAATAGTTAAGTGTGACAGTGGTAGGTCCCTGGTAGATTTTTAAAAATCTACAACATAGATCTATTTTTAATTTGGGATTTTTTTCTTAATAAAAATTCTGCATAATTTGAATGAATGAAATCTATCAGTACCTCTTGTCAGTACATTTCAATTTTTTCTGCTCTGGCTATTCCAGAACACTACAACCCCTCGCTACCTTCCAGCCCAGCCGTCATTTTTAGCTGCCCTACGCTTCTTGCTCTGATTGAGAAATGTGTGGCAGCAAAAGTAATTATGTCCCAATTAGATGCCTCGGTTCTGTCAACCAGGTCCAAATGGGCTACAATCTGTTTTCACATAGGCTCAGCCTATCCCATGTTTTCAGCAGTGAGAAAGCCGTGCTTATATAGAAGAGAGTACAGTGAGTGTGTGGTGGTTGCCTGGCTGATTTAATATGCTTGTGAGCAAGTTAAAGGAAGGAAAGCAAAACAAAAATCAGATTTCAAAACCAAATTTGGAGGCTACGGTATTCAGATTACTGATGTAATCAGAAAACTTCATTTTATTTCTAGTGGATCAAAAGTGTATTTGCTGGTTACCATAGAAGTCAGAATATCTACTCTAGATTACTGCGATAGTTAAGGTATATCATTCATTATATATTAAAATTTTGAAATTGTAAAAAGGTTGCTTTTTTCCCCAAAACAAAAAGAAGTCTCAGGTTTGCTTGTGGATTATCTAAAAGTTTTCATGTCTCAGAACTTAGCCTTTACCTGTGAAATGTTACTGCAGTCTTAATATTTTTGTGTTAGATCTATATTAGATCCATAGTTGCATAGCATGATGTATTAGTGTATATGATTTTAGCTGTGACACAACTGGTGATTAAAAAAACAAGGCATGCTTTAGCAGATGTCTTTGTGACTCAAGGACAACTTCTTATTTAACCTTTTCTTATTTTTATATTTTATTATATATGCTTTTATTACGTACAAATAGCAACTATAATGCAGTTGCAATCGAAATAGATTTTGAGGACACAGAATTATTATATAGCTTTTTCTACTTGATATGTATCACAATAAACAAATTCTGTATCTGCATTTACCTATAATAGAACTATTATCTCCAAAATAAAAATCACTTTCCTATCTTTTGAAGTTTGACTCTGTGTTGTAGCAAACATATAGTCTAATGCATGTATTCATTTCAGTTAATGTTTATAAGTACTTGAGTGAAAACGTTGTTTGTAAACATTTTATTTGGTCATCATCCATTTTTGCTTGCTTGCTTGCTTTGAATCCTCTCTGATAAGCTTTTCATCATATAGTTACCTACCCTATTCCTGATCCCTATTTTGGATTTAGAAGAACCAATAGCAAACAACCTAGCAAAGTGGGAATTAATTTCTAATTTTGAAAGACTGAATAGAGAGAAACTTTAGAACTGAAATGAATTTTGATTCATCTAAAAAATGCACAACTTATTATTCCCCCAGCAGTCAGATAATCCCCTCTGAATTTTTTTTTTTTGATGTGAGAGCCTTTGTTTTTAATTTGGTTTATACATGTTAATTTTTAAAATGCATATATACCTTAGTAAGTGTAAGTGCAATTAATATGTTGCAATTAATAAGTATAACTTATATTTAAGAATAATAGGAAAAATAAGTGGAATTAATATCCAACAAAATAGAATGGATGCAAGCATGCCATAACATACTATATAGAGATAGTTTTTGCTGATCTTTTTACCTGGTAAAAGACTCGACTTCACAGGATGCCTGGGGTGACTGTCCAGGTTTTCAACACCCACCCTCACAGCTGGCGGGGCTGCGTGGGCTAACGGCCCTTATTTCTTCAAGACTTGAACTCCCGTTACTATAAAAACAGGAAGAGAAATCATGAAGTAAATTTGCAAGCAGTGACATGATACTTTGGCTTGAGAAGATCATTTTTGCAGCCAATCTGACTATGAATTGGTTTAAGGGAATACTGACTTGTTTTCGGTGAATAGACATAGGATCCGGGAAATAATGTTATGAAGGCCCAGGGCTAATGAAGTAAATATTTTCAAAGGAATGCTATTTTTTCTTAAACGAAATCGTAATTGGGGTCAGGTGTTTGCAAAGTTGTCCAGCAGAGTCCACTAGAATACAGACTGGAATGCAGGGTGGGAAAAGAATGCAGTGTTAGACCCAAAACAGGTGTACGTATGTTTAAGAGCAAGCAATAACGCATACAGGGTTCAGGTCTATCTGCAGTTTCACGCATTCTCTGGGGGTCTTGGCAGGTATCCCCTGGAGAAATGGGAACAATATATAGCAGAGTCCATCTATTTGTCAATTTCTGATTCTTGTTTCTATAAGCAATATTCCTACCTTTGCCTAGGGCACATTTTACATGATAGCAAGGAGAAATGACATTGTGAAGTGCCAGGAAGACTTATAACATTTTTTTTTTTTTTTGAGGAAAGCATCCTTAAACTATTCTTTATGTAAAACAACGCTGTGTTTTGTCTTGTAATCCTAAAACCTTTGTCCTACAATCTATTTGGGCCAGGAGTACTGATTTGAGCCAAAGGCCAATCAGAGATTAGGAAGTGGCCTGACTGGGAACTGTCTCTTGGGCACACCCTCCTGGCTAATGGCTCCTCTGAGTCAGGTCTCAGAGATCTCAAGGAGGCTGAACACAGAGAGCACTGACCCAAGGGAGAGCAAAAGAAGGCATGAGACAGGTGTGCTGAAGGCTCGTCGCCTTTGAAAAGAGCAACTGCATACTGGAACTGGGTTTGAGCCACGTGAAGTACTTTTAGGTGGTAAAGGGTCTGAGTGAACTGGCATGTTAAATACACAGCACAGAATTACAGAAAAAACCTACAGCCAGGCTCAGATTCCCTTTCTAAGCCTAAAAATCTTGCCTCTTTATAATATTTTATTTCTGTTTATATGCCTGTCACCCACCCACTTTTCTGCCTCTGCCTCTCAATCCTGCTGAATGTCTACTTTCTGTTTGCATATGTTCCAGCAAAATTTGTGTTGTTATCTTGTATACATGTGTTTTTAATTGTGGAACTGCTTTACATATTTCATCCTGTTGCTTAATCTCTTAGCTCACTATTTTAAAGCCTGTTCCTGTCTGATCCCACGGCTTCTAGGAGTTCTTGGTGTTCATCCACCACATTTCCCTCTATCAGTCTGTGGGGAACGGGTCCCGAGATGACCTCCAACTTTATGTGTTCCCAAATAATACTGCTAAGGACATTCCTGTACACGTCCCCTTGTGGACCCATGAAGAACTTATAATACATACCAATGTACACTTACAATCGTTAGGTCTGCAAATCTCTTGTCTATATAATTTATGCACTGTGAGTTGTTCTCCAGAATCCCAAGCCAGCCGACGGCTGTGCATGAGAATCCCCTTATACCTACCGCTCCACCGACACATGGTATGGCTTCATTATTTGAAAATGAAATATAATACTTTTGGGGGGATAATGCATTCAATAAATCTTTCTAACCAGGAAGGAAAAGAGATATCTACACTCAGTTTTCATGACTCTGGGTAGTTATAGTTTGTTTATGCTTCATCTCTTCTCCTAGATGGTCCATGTTGAAACCAGAAGCTTGTCCCAACAGCTTTGTCACTGAGCCATGTTCTGGGTTCAGGAGTAGGAGTGAATCCAGGAGTGAGCAGTAAACCTACTGCTCAGCTCAGACCCTCTCCCCCTTTCTCCTGAAGTAGTTTTCATTAGTACCCTCGAGTCCCACCTTGTTTTCTTCTCCTTGCTGTGGTGTTGAGCTTGTGCTAGGTTTCAGCCCACTCACTCTGAGGCCAGCAGGAATGCCCACCCTGTATACTCCAGCCCTGGGTCTGTTACTTTCAAATACGATAACCCACAGCAGCACATGTATGTTGTATTATGACTTAGTAAGGAACTGTGTTCGTCATGATATAAAAGCAGTACCTACGTAAAAAGAGTATTTATGATTACACTCAGTGATACGATGTTTTCAAATTGATTTTACCTTTGTCACTGAAAAATACATCACAGAGGTAAAAGAAAATGAGCAAAAAATTATAAAATAGAAACCACCAAAACAAATAAACAAAAAATGAGTTACCACCAAAAACCTAGGATAGTACTGAACTAAAAAACAAAAGCAACCAACCCTGACAATACCAAGTGCTGGGAAGAATATGAAGCTACTAGAACTTTCAAACATTGCTGGGGTGCGGGGTTAAGTATAAAATGGTACAGAGTAAACCAGCAACTCCCCTCTTGAGATTTATTCTAGAGAAATGAAAACTCAGTATTATAAAAGCTTACTTAGTTATTTATAGAAGTTCTATTCATAATCACGAAAAACTGGAAACACCCTAGCGGTCCTTGGTTGCTAAATAAGCTGTGATACATTCATACAATGGAGCCACACCTTGTGATAAAAAAGAATCAATTACTGATCCAAGCAACCACTTGGATAAAGCTCAAGGCAATAATGTTGAATCGGACCTGCCTCAAAGACTTGTATTCTGTCTGATATTAGGTATATGGTCTTAAATAGATAAAACTCAAGTGATAGAAAGCGGAGCTGTCACCATAAAATATAATAGAGATTTGGGGAGTTTTCTGATAGACACAATCTATACATAGGTTAGCATTCATAAAACTACGTAAAAATACATGGAGCAATAATTTAAGAGGGCCAATGAACATAAAAGAGGCTGAACTGAGGTTGGCAGGAAGCTCAGCAATGCTGTCAAATACAGAAATGTTGAACAAGGGGGTGCAGGCAGATGTGTGAACCTCTGTCATGGCCGTGTGAGAACTGGCAGGCTGGGGACAGGCTGGCACCAGCTTCCTTGGGTGCAACAGGAAAGTAGAACATGAGCCTGTGGGACCAGCAACAGTCTCAACTGGAAAATGTCACTCGGGGCAATTTAAATTCAGTATGTAAGTGTTAACTGAGCACCTGCGACATGGCAGGGTCTTTTGTGGGCATCAGGGATACAGTGAAGGAGATATCCAGGCCTTGAGCTTTTGGAGTTGATATTCCAGCGGGTGGTTGGTAGGACAGAAAAATAAGTAACATTTCAGTAAATTTTAAGTGCTGTAAAGATAATAACACAGTGGTGTGTTTTTGTGTGTGTGTGGTGTGCACGTGCACATATAAACACAGGTGTGTGCAGTGTTTCAGAATGAGATAGGGAAGGCTTTCTGAAGGACGCGGCAGGAAGCGGTGGGCTCAGGACAAACAAGCTCCCTGCCCATGCTTGAAGGAAATACCAGCACTGAGGGCTGAAGAAATAGTGACATAAAAAAATGAGTTGCAGCCGTCCCTGGTGGCGCAGAGGGTTAAAGCATAGCACTGAGAAGCTAAAAGCCATGTCCGTCAGCATGAGTGTGATCCCCACCAGCCCAGGAGCTGACCACATGGTGCAGCAGACCTCTCCTGATCCACCCGCTGCTCCCCTCAGCAGTGTACTTCGTCCATCTGCCTGTCCTGCTCCCCTCTCTGTCTCTGGTGAATCCTCTCACCGCCCTGCACCTCTGGTCTGTACCCCCAGTTCCGCATTCATGAATAAATAAATCTTTAAAAAATAAAATAGTTGGTTTTGAAAACATGTATTAAAGCTCTGCTAACAAAAACTGACCCCACTAGGCTCCTTTTCTTTGTGACAAGGTGTGGGGAAGTTCAGTTCCTCATACAGACCTGCCACATGGCTCGGCAGAGCTCCCGACTTTTTTCACTTCCTTTGCCCACCCCCTCTACCTCGGTCTGGGATGTCAGACCTTCTCTTCTTAATGAAGCCTTTCCCTTTAGCCCACTGGCCCCACCCAGGAACTCTCAACTTGCCTTCCCGGTCCTTTTCCTGTTTTGTTTTCTCTTTTTCATAAGACTTATCTCTTGTTAATATAGTGTAAAATTATCTTTTAATTTTGTTAGTTTATCATCTGTCTCTATCAGACCTGGATCCCCAGAATATAAATGTCACAGGAGTGGGCTCCTTGAAGAGTAGAATGTCCAGTCACCCTGCTAGATTTTCTATACATGTGCCAACAACTGGTTTGCGTTACATTTTAAATTCAGATGGGCTGATTACCACCCCAAAATAAACACTAAACTCACAGAAAGAAATTAACTA